TGGGCAAGCCTTGGAAAAATCCTGACTCACTATAGCCCTTCCTGGTGGCATGGAGAAGTGCCACAGGTATAATCAGAAGCCCTGGATTCCAATTCTGGCTGTGATTTCAGTAGTGTAACCTGAACTTGGGTTTCCTCTTCTGGAGAATGAGATGGGCTAAAAAGCATCTGGTGACCTTGCCAGCCCTAGATCTATCATCCCACTGAAATGACTGCAACTAGTCATCCTACCCCTCAGGACCTGGCCCCAACTCTGCCCTCCCAGAACTTTCAAACTGGGAGCAGCAAAAGGAGCATAAGATTTGGGATCAGAGTTCTTGGGTCCATTTGCTCTGAGGCTGACTACATGTGTGACCTCCTCTGGACCTGCTTCCTCCCTATAAAGGTGAAGGGGCTGGGCCAGGTGGTAAGGACCCTACCAGATCCTACCTTCTGCTCAGTGCCCTCATCCCATCCTGTCTCCCATTCTTAGGATAGAGTTCATCAAACATTCGATCTGGAATATTTTGTTTGAGCTGAAACATGTTTGTGTTTGTGTGCAGGTGTGCACACACATGTGTATGTGTGTATGTAATATATACACATACATACATGTGTATCTCAAGTGCCGCAGTCTCGAAGGTTTCAGTAAACGTCAGTGTAACCGACTATACAATTCACTAACATTGTTATCAACAATCAGTCTGGTCTGATCCACCACAGTCATGCACCCTGTACCTTGACCCCAACACAGTGATGTCAATTTTGTCCTCCACGAAAACGAAGGACAGCAACCAACTGCTGAGCTAGAAACAATACAGACCTATCTTAGTGTTTCCTCAATCTAGCAGAGAGGAAGAGCATGGAGATCTCTCCACTGAGCCCCATCACACAGTCTCTCAGGAGAAAAGTTCTCTGGTCCTTCCTCTGCTGTCTCACACATGCCTTCCTCTAAACTGACTTCTGTCAGGCTCCTCCCAGATGGCAGATACACTGTAACTCCCCAAGATCCCTTTCTGTCTTAAAGATACAATAGCAAGTTCCATGGGAACATGGAAAAGACTTCCAGAGCTAGTTATCCAGACAGAGAATGTTATCAACCTGGTCCCTGTCTCGGCTGGCCAGACCTGGCACTGGCCCCAGCTGATCAGGAATAACAAGCATTGTATTGGCTGTTCTGTCTCCAGCCTGCCTCAGGTCAGCATTCCTGTAAATATTGACTTCTTCAGAACATTCCCCCTGGAGGATGGCATTTCCCTAAGAGAATGCCCACCAGCACCCTTTCCACTGGGGTCCTCTCTACACTTGGCTGTTCTTAATCACCAGCCAGACAGAGATTGCCTCATCCTCCCCAAACTCTCTGCAGATGGATAAGCAAGAAACAGTATCCCCATTTTAAAGGTGAGTTTACTGAGACCCATAAAGGAAAAGTGGTTTGCTGAGAGGCCAGATGAAATGGATCCCATCCCATGCCAAGTTTCCCTGATTCTCCACACCTGATTGAAGGCTCCCTCTGCCTTGGCAAGCCCAGCTGCAGACCTCAGTCCTGCCCCTGGGCTTCTCCACCCCTCCCCCATTCAATTCCCCTGCCTGGGAAGCTTGGCTAACTTCTCTCCTAAGGTATATTTCCCTGGCAACCCCTTCCTGAGGCAAGGATTTGTGAAGATGAGAACAGGAGCAGAGAGACTGGGTTGTTTCTCCCCTTGTGCCCCCCACCACCTGCCAGAACAAATAATTCATGCCTTTGCAACAAGGCCATGCAGCCAGAGAGTATGATTCAGGAGAGACAAGGAGAGGTGCTCATGGAAGGAAGTCTGGCCTTCCCAAACTCTGTGTCCCACGTTCTCTGACCCCCAACGTCTTCAGACCCAAGCAGTGTACTGAGAAGGCTCCCCTGCCCATGCCTGTCAAGTGGTGCCTAAGTTGTAGACTCTGACAGTAACAATGTGAGTCACTCACATTTACTTCCATGACCTTCACAGCAGCTCTAGGAAGCAAGGAGAGAAAGCAGGGATGCCCCCACACCCCCCAGCCAATGCAGACACACCAATGCAAACTAGGCAATAGGCCCCATAAAGCTGCTTAAAGCAAAGGGGGGACAGGGAGGGAGGGGGAGAGTGGCAAAGAAGTGTTTGCTGATTAGATCCCCGGGAGGAACTTCCTCCCTCTCAGAGATGTCAGTAAGTCTGATGGGAAGCCTGTGGGGAGGGGGTTGCCCTTCCTGGAGGGCTGGAAACAGAGGCCAAGTAGGCCATAGATATAGGGGGGTACAAAGCAGCCTCTGAGGCCCCTTCTAGACCTGGGATCCTCCTGTTAACAACAGGATCCTGGCAGATAAATCCCAGACTCTGAAACCTCCGGCCCACAGGTTCTTGTCCACACTGCACCTGCTGCCCTACCTGCCTGAACTCTTTACCATTCCCTGTGCCAGTCATCCAGGCATCTGGGGGGAGGGGGCCAACCTCTGGTGAGGAGAATCCCTCCTAGCAATATCAGGTGGAGGGGGAGCTGAGGACACTTTGGGGAAGTCATCAGGCTAGGTCTCCAGGAATGACTGTATGCTTGAGTTATTTTCTGAGGGTTGGGGGAAGAGGTCAGACAAGGTCCCCTGAGGTTGAACATGGAGAGAGAGACAGAGACAGATAGTGGAATCAGGAAGCTTTTGAGTGGTGAATGGGAAGAGTAGATCTCCTCTCACCAGGGTCCCTGGGGGTCCAGAAAGCATCTGCCTGTAACTGGGGAGCAGAACCAAGACCAGCCAATGTGGGGGGCAGGCTAGGGACAGTGACCCAGTCCTGAGAGTAAGAAGGGACCCCTCCCTACTCACTCTGCAATGTGAGCAGCATTTCTGCTGTGTGGGGTCACTGCAAGAATGGCCACCCCACAAACCTGCTGTAGGCAGGAATGTTTGGTCTATTCTGGAGAAAGAGACTGGGAAGGGACAAGAGGGACCAGAAAAGAAGCCTGTTTTTCATCTTTTCCCTTTCAAAGCCTGAAGTGGCAAGCTTGAATCCCAGCCTCCCTGGCCACAGAGTCCAGCCTTGAGGGATAGAAAACTCCAGCACAGAAGAGGGGCAGAGGGCCATGCCTGGCAGAGGTGGGTACAGACTCCTTGAAGCTACAACCAGGATGGATGAGGGCCCTAGCCCAGTGCCACATCACCCCCATAGCCAACCAGGCAATGCTAGCTGGTTTAGTGGGTCTGTTCAAGGGTGCTTCCTGTGACCAGCTGCTCCACACTGGGCCATCCACACCCTCCTGACATGTCCTGAGGCAGTGGGTTCTGAGGGCTCTCCCCATATCCCTCTGGGAGCCTGAGAGACTTCTCAATCACACTCAGCTCTGTAGACAGCTCCCCATGGGCAGGGGGAAGTGGCTGGGGTGGAGGGGTGGGGGGAGGATGCTCTCAGCCTCCACTGATTCAAGCTTCTCTTCCTCTCTGCCACATGTCCTCAGGCAGAGTGGAGACACTTTCAGATTGATGATGTGAAGGGCTGAGGGCCAATTCAGGGCTAGACAGACTCTGGTGCAGAGAAGGGCTGGCCTGGTCATGCTCTCCACCTCCACACTGGGAAAGATGCTGAGAAGAAGCCTAGATCTGGCTTTCTGTCTTTGGCCTGTTTGGGCCCCTGAGCTCTGAGGCCTGAGAGAGTGACCAGCAAAGAGCTGGTTCAGCTCCACACAACAACATGGGGGACCTCTGAGGCAGGGAGGCCACCACACCAGCGATGCCTTGGGGAAGCGCAATTATAGTAACACCCTGGGGTTGGGGGGGGGGTGAAGAAAGGCCATTCTTTCCAACCCCAGGAGAGTGAGCCTCAGTCAGTCAGGCACCTGTGGCTCTCCCACACAAGAGGGGCTATCTTCCAAGTAGCCTGGGTTTTGGCTATTTCTTTGGAAGGGGTTGATTTGGGGAGCAGTTCATGTGTAAGGGTGAAAACATTGTTTCTGCTCCCTGTCCCCATGGGATAGAAACAGGGAGGAGGGGAAGGCAAGAGGGCATCAGAGAAGCCCAAACTGCCAGTCCTGTTGGGCTTAATGCAGCTGCAGACAGCATGGCTAATAGGGCAGCTAGCCTCCCTGGAGAGGCTAGCTGAGATGTCCCCATTGCCTTCCCCAGTGTTGCTGCCCCAGTGACAGCTGGGCAAGCAGAGGAGACCCTGCCAGGCCCTCTACACCTCTATCTGGCTGGTGTTTATTTGGGCATGTGCCCAAACCCTCAGGAGGATGGCACCCTGCCCACAGTCCCGGGCAGAAATGGCCCCATCATGGGCTCCCACTAAGCCATTGCTGGGGCCCATTCAGCCAGTGCTAGCCAACATCTGGGCAGATGCTTAGCTCTGCCTCTGTGCTGTTCTAAAAACCCAGGTTTGCTCTAGCAGTCCCTTAGCTGGAGTTTTCAGAGAGAAATGAGAGAAAAATCCAAGCTCATTGGGAACCTGGGGCGGGAGGGGACCAGGCAAAGGGCTCCTGGCCCGACCAGAAGGAAGATGCACAGCCCTTCCACCAAAGGGGGACTGCCGCAGGCACACTGCCCTACGTCCCTCTCCAGGAAAGACAGGCAGGGCTCCGAGCGGATCTCTGCGAGTATGTTTATGTTGGTGGGTATGCACACCAGTGTGTGTGACAATGCCCACCCAAGCCACTTCAATGCCTCCCTTACCCCAAATTCTGTGTACACACACACACACACACACACACACACACACACACACACACACTTCCACGTTCCAGAGGAAGGAAGCCCCCACCCAGTCCCCAAATTTGCCTCTAGTCCCAAGCAGAGGAGCAGGAGTGCCAGCGGCAGGGGGCTGCCCGGAGTGGGCACACTGTCGCATCTGGGACCCAGGGTGGGGAAGAGCACACAAAGTTATGTGTGGAAGGTTATCTCGGCGCCCTGACCCAGAGCCTCCCCTAGCCCTCTTCCCAAGAGAGCCCGAGGAGGCCCGGAGGCGGCAGCAGTAGCCGCGGCGGCGGCAGCGATGGCCGTGCCCAGGCTCGCTCACTGCTCGCTTCACTCACCTCAGAGAGCAGGTCCGGGAGCAGCCGGTCCAGGGCGATGGAGCGCGTTGCGTCAGGGCTCCAGAGGGCATCCTGGGGGAAGGGGGGCTGGCGCCTCCACCGCCGCCGCACCTGCCTGACCCCCTCTCTCTCTTTACCGCCCTCCCGACCCTTCTCCAGTCCGGTCAGCAGACTCCGCTGTCTCCTACGCCGCCGGCTGCCACCTCGAGGGTCCCGGGAGCCTCCCCGCCTCCACCTCCACAATCCGGCCCAGCTCTGGGGGGCTCTGATCCGTCAGTCAGTCAGTCAGTCAGTCACTCGGTGGCCCCAGCTCAGCTCAGCTCGCACAGCCCAGCCCAGGTCTGTCTTGCCCTACCCTGCACGGAACAGCACAGAACAACCCAGCCCTGCACAGCCCGGCTGCACAGACTCTGGCTAGGGCTCGGGCTCCGCCTCCCTCCGGCTCCTCCTCCTTCCCTCCCCCCTCTTCCTCTGCACATGCCCAGCATCCCAGCAATGAGTGGCCCGCTCGGGTACTAGAGGCACCGTTCCAGCAGAGGCTTCTCGACCCTAGCCCCCCACGTCCCGTCGCCTCCGCCCCAGCGTCCCCCCTCCTTCCCCCCCCCCGCCCTCCAAGACCTCTACCTGGGAAGAGGTAGTGCCCAGCTCTGCCCTCTGAATCAGAGAACCCACACTGGCACACAGACACCAGGCACACACAGAGTCATGGGAGCACAACAGCCACGCAAAACGGTGACAAACACAGTGACTGAGACATCACAGCCGCACCACAGTGACACCCAGCGAGACAGTCACACAGCGACACGCAAGTGAGCTCGATGGTGCAGAGACAGAAATCACTGATCCCGGAACACAAGTGGACATCCAGGGCCAATGTGCAAGTGACCCAGGGAACCAGTGCGAGGATCATAACCGCCCCCTCCCACACGTGCACGCTTGCACAAACACATACCACGAAATGCACCTGCGCACACCCCCCACATATACTTGCACACGCACCGCAATATACCATACACCCCCCCCACATATACTCACGCACACACATACATATACATCTCCATACACACACTCCCACATGTATTCACATACAAACCACACAATATACCCCCACACCACACACACTATACTCCACAGTGACTTCCCTTCCCCATGCCTGCCCAGGCAGGCAGATCAACTCCGTGGTATACACTAGCTCACAACCAAGACCGGGGGCTCCCGGTGATTCTGGCCAGCCCTGGACCTGACTTTCCTCCCTGGATGCAGATGCTTCCTTTGCTGGTTCCTCAGCTCCCTCTCATATGGGACCAACCGTTCCCCACCAGGGCCTGGAATGTGCTCTTTCCTTGCCTCCACCTCCTGGCTTCCTGCAAAATTCAACTAGAAGCCCTCCTTCTGCAACAGGCTTTTTCCTCCTCCCCCTCCTTTCCCTCTGAGACCACCTCCATTTACCCTGTAAACACCTCTTACAAATGTTACCTCCTCCCCTGGACTCTGAGCTCCCCGAGGGCAGAGCTACACTTTTGTTTTCCTTGTGTCCCCAACAGTGCCTAGCACATAGTAGGTGCATCATCAATGCTTCTTGACTAAGAATAATCACAGCCCAAACAAAATACAGACATCTCACGTGTGAGCACATGAGTGGTGTATCCAGCTCTTCTGGGCTTCCTTTCTCACCAGCCTCCCTACACTGCTATCTCCAGCCTCTCCACATGCCCTTCTACCTTGTTCCCAGCTCCAGGGGCCTGGAGGGCTGGGGGCCTGGGGGCTGGGGCTTTCTTAGGACCCTGACACCAGTCTGACTGGGCTTGCTGACTAGTAGCTCTGGTCTGGTCTCTGCCACGTGGGAAGAGCTCAAAGCACAGTCAGATCCCAGCAGGTAGCAGCTAGGTCCCTGAATAAGCCAAGCCCTGGAGACCACCCTGGAGGCTTTTGAAATGACAGAGAAATACTGCAGGACACAGTGAGGGGTTGTTCCCCTGCCCCCCCCCACCGTGACATCCTGGCCTTCTCCCTGAGGACCAGAAAAGGGGCAAGCGCTGTCCTCTGACCCTTCACTGACTACCCCCACCTCAACACCCAGAAGCCCACTGAGGGCTAACTCAGTCAGTCAATATTTACTAAGTGGCTATCCTATGCCAGCCACTGTGCTAAACACCGGGGACACAAAAAAGGCAGAAGAGAATCCCAGCCCTCCAGGAGCTTCCAATCTAAAGGGGGGAGACAAGATACCAACAAATATATGCAGACAAACTATAGACAAGATAAATAGGAAACACTTAACAGAAGGAAATCACAGAATTAAGAGGGTTGGGAAAGGCTTCCAGCAGATGGGATTTTGGTTGGGACTTGAAGGAAGCCAGGAGTAGGAGATGAGGAGGAAGGGCATTCCAGGCATGGGGAGAGGGGTAGCCAGGGAAATGCCCGGAGCTGAGAGATGGAATGGTCAGGAGGCCAGGGTCATGGGGTTGGGAGTGAGGTGTCAGAAAACCGGAGAGGGAGGAAAGGGGGCCGGTGATGAAGAGCTTTGAATGCCAAACAGCATTTTGTATTTGCTCCTGGAGACAGTGGGGAGTTGACCCAGTAGAAGGGTGACATGGTCAGACCTAGGCTTTAGGAAAATCCCTTTAGTGATTTAATGGAAGAAGGACTGAGTGAGGAGAGCCTGGAGGAAGGCAGAGCTCCCTGTAGGCTGCTGCCATAGTCTAGACGTGAGGGGATGAGGGTCAGCACCAGGATGGGCAAGGGTCAGAGGAGAGAAGGGGGCAGATTGGAGACATGTTACAGAGGTGAAATTGGCAAAAGGTTGAATCTGGAGGGCGAGTGAGGAGACCAGGATGAATCCTTGAGGTTGGGAGCCCGAGGGAATAGATGGATGGTTTTGTCCTCTACAGTAAAAGGTAGTGGTGGGGGAAGGGGGAGGTTAGGGGGAAAGATGATGAGTATAGTTTGGGGTAATTTGACTTCAAGCTGTCTACTGAACACCCAGTTGGAAATGAGACGGCAGAGATCAGCAAAGAGTTTGGGGCAGGATAGGTAAGTCTGAGAATCATCAGTTTAGAGGTGGCAGTTAAGTCCCTGGGAGCTAGCGAGCTCACCAAGCGAAGTGGTATTGAAGGAAAAGAAGAGAAAGCCCAGGACTGAACCCTGAGGGACACCTGTATTTAGAGAGCATGATCTGGATGGGGATCCAGCAAAGGAGACAGAGAAGGTGTGATCTCATAGTGAGGAGGAGGAGAAGAGAGAAAGTGACAGACAGACAGAGAGAGAGAGAGAGAGAGAGACAGAGAGAGACAGAGACAGAGACAGAGAGACAGAGAGAGACAGAGAGAGAGAGAGAGAGACAGAGAGACAGAGAGAGACAGAGACAGAGAGACAGAGAAATCCTGAAAACCCAGAGAAAGGAGGGTATCAAGGAGGAGAGGGTGATCCATGGTGTCAAAGGCTGCAGAGAGGTCAGGGAGAATGAGGATGGAGAAAAGGTCGTTGGATTTGGCGATTAGGAGGTCATTAGTAATTTTGCACAGAGAAGTTTCAGTGGAATGACAAGGTTGGAAGCCAGATTCTAAAGGGTTAAGGAGGGAGTGAGAGGAGAGACAGTGGAAGCTTTTTTGAAGAATTTAGCCACAAAGGGCAGAAGAGATAGATATAGAACAATAGTTTGTGGGGATGGAGGGATCAAGTGAGGGATGTTTTTTGAGAATAGGAGAGATACAAACATGTTTGTAGACAGTAGCAAATGAGCCAGTAGACAGGGGTTAATTAAAAATAAGTGAAAGAGTGGGGATGACAGAGGGGGCCATCTGCTGGAGGAGAAAGAATGGAATGGGATCACTTGAGCAGGTGGAAGGGTCAGTCTTGTTCAGGAGCCAGGCCACTTCATTGTATGAGATAGGAGGAGAGGGGGCAGATGTCTGAGCGATTGGGAGAAGAGGGAGAAAGGAGAGCTCACTGGGAATAGCCTCAGTTTTTTCTGCTGTAAAATACAAGGTAAAGGTCTCAGCTGAGAGAGGAGGGGGAGAGGAAGCTGTGAGAGGTTTGAGGAGGGATGAGAAGGTTTGGGAAAGCCTAGGTGGAGAGTGGGATTGCTTGTTGTTTTTAATCCTTCATTCTAAAAGACTAATGACATCATGAAGGTGATGTCTTGACTGTCAAGTGAATCAGATTTAAATGAGGCAGAGCTGCACAATATCATCGGCCTCACTCCCTCCTCCAGAGTCATCTGAGTCCAGAGGCAAGACAGAAGTCAGAATGGCTGGTAACGGCCCAGGGGAGGAGGATGATGAGGTGATGAGGGACTGCCTAGCAGCAGTGAGGGCCCAGCTGAAGTCATGTCAGGGGAATCTGCAGGTAAACCCAGTCAGACCGGTCCACCCATACTCAGCAACACTTGAGTGGGAGCAACCCCAGCTGGAGCAGCCCAGAATACACCCTCCTCCCCCCTCCACTGGTCCATCTGGTGTGATTACCATATGAGAAGGCTACATTCACTGGTCATAGACGTGAATCAAGGCTTCAGTCAATCATCCCACAATGCCCTCATCTCAGAACCTCCTTTCTTCCTTCCATGTGTCTGAGGACAGAGGCAGGGGGTTTTCACCCTTCTGTCTACAAGGGCTTGGACATGAATGGCAACTACTCTTGTGATTTCTCAGTCGTTCATTGGTCAGCATAGGCATCTTGGTGGTGCTGTACATACAGCACTGGAAGTCAGAAGACAGGAAGACCCGAGTTTAAATCCAGTCTCAGATATTTCCTAGCTGTTACCCTGAGTAACTCACATCACCTTTGAGTTTCCTCAACTGTAAAAGGGGGTGTTAATGGCACCTAATTCCCAGGGTTGTTGTGAGGATCAGAGAAGATAATTTTAAAATCCCTAGCTCAGTGCCTGGCACATAGAAGGCACTATATAAATGTCAGGTATTGTTGTTATTGTTGTTATGCACTAAGAATAGGGTTAGATTAAACCTGTCCCTCGAAATCGCTCCCTCTCACAGAAGCCAGTGTTTGTCTGTAGTGACAGGTATAGGGTAGTTCTTTCTAGTTTTCCCTCTTTTCCCCAGCTTTCTTTCTATTTCTTTCTTAGGCAATTGGGGTTAAATGACTTGCCCAGGGTCACACAGCTAGTAAGTGTTATGTATCTGAGGCCAGATTTGAACTCATGTCCTCCTGAATCCAGGGCCAGTGCTCCTTCCACTGCGCCACATAGCTGCCCCTAGTTTTCACTTTTGACAAAATATTGCTTCATGAAGCTCATGAGTCCCACAGAGAAAAAGAAAAGATTATTCCTGGAGGACAGAAGTCAGAGTTCTCATCTGTGGTGAGAGCCTGTCCTCATGGAGCTTAAGGTGTGATGGG